GCGTGGGATGGAAGTAGTGTCCGCACATGGCACGAACAGAAGGAAGCTCCAGAACATAAAGGACCAGCATCCCCACTGTCGTTTCAGCGCACGTATTGACAACATCTTCGGTATAACTCTTGCTCTTTCTACCAGCTACTAGACTATCTATCTGCTAGCTACTTCTGCTGGAGTTGAAGATAGATGATCTCATGATTATTGTTCCAACAAAGCACACCAGGCATGATCGTGGCGCCTGGACATGGAGGTCGTACATGAAGCCAAGGCTCATGGCGGTCGCAAGATGCTTCTCAGTTCCGTGCTGAGACACTGAGTTGTCTACTAAATCCTCCCTTGCAGCTTAAGATTTAAAAAGCCATTGACCTCATCGACTATTAATATAAAAATATTAATATTTATCGTCCTTGACAATTTACTTAATTAAAATGACGACTCAAAAGACAATTTACCGGTTTCGTCGTAGCATGTTTTTAAAAGGACGTTTTGAAATCGTCCCATATTAAAAAGGGTGGAGGCGCTCGATACACGCAGCGGAGGTAGCTGTGGTGGGGATCGGAAGCAAGTGTAGGGGTACCGGTATGGGGGCAAAGGGGGAAGATTGGGCCGAAAGGAAGAATCGAATCATAGGTGAAGGTGGGATGGGGCAGGAGGCATCACAGGGGAAGGTGGCAAGTACACCAGCCATAGGCATCACAGTGGGAACGGTGGTACAGTGGCTCATTGTGCGTGGCTCACTAATCCTGCCAAAGAAAAGGGGCGATTCGGAGGCAAAAGAAAGGGTGGGGTGGGTTGGTGGTACATCTTGAGGTTGCCGTACAACGTAGTAAGAGCTGTGGCTGGACTTGGGGACAACTTCCAATGCTTCCAATCCTCGTTTGTCCTCGTGGGCTTGGGTATACAGCCCCAGCCAGGCTGCAAGTTCTTGTGACAGGCAGGAGGCAGCTCTCACGGAGGAAGCCACAAACCAACGGTGTTGACTCGACTTGAGTCAGTCGGCCAGCCAGCCAAAGCCACCGATAGTACAGTACGGGGGGTTTAGAGTAGGGAAATTAAGTACAGTTCTATCTAGGTAAGTTTTCATCACCGGGCGCTGGTATCTAGCTAGCTTCCTCGGGATTGTTGGGATATCCTATCCTCGGCGGCCATGGGTTGCGTCGGGTTTACAGAACGAACCGGTGTTGAGCGTGAGCCAGGAAGCAACTAGATTGGCGCCCTCCTTCTCTTATACAAAAGAAGGGAAAAAACAATTCGAGGAACCAAATGGTACGAGGATTCGGGCAACGCGGTGCAGCTACTACTCAGACTTCTTCCGCTTTCCATCAATTCGGATAGCGATAGCAACCTGGACTGAGACTGAGAAATCAGGGGTTTTCCGGAGGTGTAACCCCCGGTGGCAGAGAGCTACTCTGCATTCGCCTGGCTGCACAACAACCGACGACGATACTGGATACTGGATAGTAGAGAAGAGGGGAGATTCAAAAAAGTAGATCCTTTTATTATTTTTATTTGATTTTTTCTTTGGGTGTGGCTGCTTGTCCTGTGCTCTGTCAGGGATGACCCAACAACTCTGGTCATCCCTTTCTTTTGGTACCCTCCACAAGCACACCGATAGTGACAAGACCGCCACAACCTCTTCTCACACATCCACAACCACTCGTAGTAAGAGTCACAGTGTCACTTTTGTAATACATAGTTTAGAAACCAACAGCATCATCTTCATCATCCGAGTCATCATCTTTGGTAGAGACTCCCGACATTTTGTTGGCGAGGTCATCAATGGAGCTGACCTTGGAGGATGCCGATGTAGGATCAAAGCATTCGGCTAGAAGAGGTCCAGCCACGTCCTTGGGCAAGTGTTCCTCGACAATGCCTCGCAGCATATCGTTTTCCGAACGCAAGTCATAGTACTCTTGACGCAACGATTCAATCAAAAACTTTGTTCGGACTCCAGACTTCTTGATCTTCTTGTCCTTGCTCTTCTTCTTGTCCGATGGCATCTTGACGGATTGAATGTAGTTACAAAAGGTAGAGAATGGAATAGAGACAACAACGGTCTTGTAGATCAGATTGTGTGCTGGGGTGATGAGAATGATTTGTTGCTTGCTTGAGATCCAAAAGCTTTTGGCTCAATCGATGACTGGGCTCAAAAGTCATCACGCACTCGGGTGTCAACTCCACAATGACCGTATCCTGGAGATTGCCAGACCTTCTCCGTCAACCTGGTACTAGTGCGTTCTCAATGACCGGTGTTCTATACTTCAGCAGTGTTAACAGTGTTATTTGTTGATTGAATTGTGTTGGTTGATGCATTCATCCTGCTAGAAATTGTCACAGGAGAATTTGAATACCAGATGTCACGTTGATTGCAAGTACGTCATTGGTCAAAGACACTACCAGATGTTGGGTTGCCGCTATCCCTATTGCCCGTGATGCACAAAAGTCATTTGATGGGTCGGTGTGCGGGAGTCCTGCTTTCTCAATCAAAAGATACCCAAAGATACCCCTCATCTTTTCCATGACAACAGCTTCGGTTACCTACTAGCTAGCTAGTACAGGAGTTGCAGTAGCTATCTCCAAAGAGTAGTTATCACTCCAGTAGTAACTAAACTCAGTTGATTTGATTTACAGCAGAAACCATACCATGAAGTTGTTTGGCAAGAAGAAGAAAAAGGACAAGAAGGAAAAGGAAGCAGAAGAGGAGCCACCACCGGAACAACAGGAAGAACAGCAAGAGCAAACGCCACCGTCACCACCACCACCAGCAGAGGAGGCTGAGGAACTTCCTCCCAATGAAGATAATGGTGGTGCCAATGATGAACCAGAACCAGCTGCTGCTGCACCACCCGAGAGTGGAGAGCCAGCAGCAGCTCCAGCTCCACCACCACCTCCCGTAAAAGCAGAACCTCCCATTCCCGAAGGATCCGGCGATGAATTCTTGCTGCAAGATCCCATTCCTCCGCTTGTGACGGAAAAAGAGGCCGCGGAAAACTTGGATCCATCTTGTTTTCCCCGGTATGTCTTGAAACAGTACCGTTCCAGTACGGGAACCTTTGAATTTCGAACGCGTGGCAAAGAAGTCCAAAAGAACGGCAAATCCATCCTCAAAGGAATGAAAGAATTCAAGGCACATCCCGAAAAATGGATTGGCATGACGTATCAAGTCAGTATGAAACAATGGCCGACCAAAGAACAAGAGTACTTTCTCATTGAACGCAAGGGAACACAGCAATTGGCCGCGACCGGCATTGACCCCAAAGGATGGATGGCGGTACTCATTATCGAATATCAACATTTTCCGCCGTTTCCCAACAATGACTTTCCCATGGAATTACGAGACAAGTATACCGATGATTTCTCACACAAAGGACGACTCTTGCATTCCGGATCACTCAAACCGATTTGTCCCGGACGGGGCATGGGATGTGCCGATAATCCTCTCTTGAAAGTTATTGGTGATATTGATCCGTCCGATATTCATCAGGGTCAGGTGAGTATTCATACATACTTGTAGTGTCTCTTGCTCCTGATGTTGATCTTATACATTCATTTGTTTGTTTTTACGTAGGTCGGAGACTGCTGGCTCCTCTCGGCCATTTCGGCCATTGCCGAATTCGACGGTGCCGTCAAGAAACTATTCCGAAAGACACCCAACATTGACGAAATGCCACGGGCATCCCCCAACATTTACACCGTCACACTCTGGGATTTACCCACCTGGAAAGAAGTCGATATTGTCATTGACGAACGACTCTGTGCCAATCCCAACACGACCTATTCCACATCCACCCTACTCTCGTCCAAACCTTCGGTCGATGGAGAAATGTGGGTCTGTTACCTCGAAAAGGCCATTGCCGCACATTGTGGTGGATGGGATGCCATTACGGGGGGACAGTGTGTTCATGCCTGGGCAATCATGACGGGATGTCGTCACCAATATACTTTCATGCGCAATGCCGCCACCAACAAGTGGCAATGTTGGGCCCGATACAATCCGCACAAGAAACAATGGTTGCCCATGGAAAATGATGTCCACAAATGCGATAATGTCACGGGCGTTTGGCCGATTCCCTTTTTTACCGTCGGCGATAATACCGAAACGGGAGACACCAAGAATGAAATGACCGACGCCCAAGTTTTTGATAAAATGTTTGCCTGTGATCAAGTCAATTATATTGTCGGGGCGGGTAGTAAAGGAGGTGGTACCGATGAAGGAATGGTCGATAATCATGCCTACACGGTGATTGAAGCCGTCAAGGATGCCTGTGGTACCGGTATTGATCTCTTCAAGGTGCGGAATCCTTGGGGAAAGGTACGTTTAGAGAACTGACTACTCGGCTTGAGATGTTTGTTGTTGTTGTTGTTGTTGTTGTTGTTTTACTCACGAATGAAACCACTCTTGCGAAACAACAGGGCGAGATTGAAGACGGTGAATTCGATGATGATGGTCCCGGTTGGGACAAGTATCCACAAATCAAGGCACTCCTCAACCCCGTCGTGGCGGATGATGGAATCTTTTGGGTCACCAAAGAAGAGTTCTTTGATTTCTTCAAGACTGTCTACATTAGTGCTTCCAACATGACCGAATTCTTGGAGGATTGAGTTGAGTTGAGTGCAGGATTTGATTGGACTCGAGTCGAATGGAAGGATGGACTCGACTGGATTCGAGTCGAGTCAAGTCAAGTCAATCAGCAACCTTTATCGAACAAGCCACACGTTTCTTGCTGGCTAGATGAGGGTCTCGTGTTTCACAGTATCCAACGCATCAGGTAGCGGTAGAGCGTAGCTTCGGAAGCGGTAGGTAGACGTAAATAACATCCTCAATCTCTTTGTCAGTAGTCCGTTCGGAGCGATCCACCTAGCTAGGAGGGGAATCATTCGAATAATCATTTGGGAACGAGGAGTGCTAGACAGCATCCCTACTTCGATACATGCTACTCACCCCAGGCATCCGCGTGGAGGCATAAGAAGATGTGCATTGGCGCTTGCTACTCTCGCGACCGTCTGAACCTCTTCGTCCTTGAAGCATACTCGCTCCGTGCCCCCATCTTTCCGTAGTTGTAGGTAGAGTTTCTCAAACGATTGAAGAGGGATATAGAAAGAAAGCCGCCGACTAGCTACTAGTGGAAGCTACCCGAAAACGAGTTCCAGTACGAGAAGGTGCATTCTGTCCACCGGGCTTCGTCACGGAACACATGCAATGGCTACTGACGCTCCACACCAAAAACCAAGACATTATAAAGATACACTGCTATAACAAACTACAGTATCAGTCGTTAACAAGATAGATACTTGCAGCCAAAACATACGATGCACCGTGAGCCATCCTCCACAAATGTTCACTTTGGACGTTGTATTGTTGCCTGAACGAGCGAGAGATTGTTGCTGTATCATCTTCTAAAGTTTTGTGAGCGTAATGCAATGAGCATCCAAGGACGGTGCCGAGTCGACCTTGAAGAGTCCTTCAATCACTTCGGCCCATTCCTGAATATTGCAGTCTCGCATTTTCTTGGCCTTTTCGTTTTCATCTTTGGTTTCCAACTTGATGGTCTTGAGTTTGGATTTGGAATTGGCAAAACTGCTCGTAACGAGATCGAGGGGTGCCGTAACGGCGTCCAATTCTTGTACGTGAATGTGCAGTGTTTCCAATCCTTCATTGTTAATGAGCATTTGCTGCAGCGCGAGCAACTCGAGTCCGGCCAATCCGCACATGATTTCGAGGTGTTTGATATTGTGATATTTGACCATGTTCATGCACATGGCAAGCGTGTTGCGCGTATCCAATGCCAATTCGGGCAAGCATAATTTGGTCAAGTGGGGTGCTCGAAAAAGCGCACCGATGGATTCGGCACTGACACTATTGTCGGGAGGGGTCGCTCCACTGAGCATGAGTTCTTGTAGTGTCTTTAATTTGGTAATGTTGGATCCGACTTCATCAATGTGATCATCGGTGAGTTCCATGTAGAGGATGGAACATTCCTTGAGTTGTACGGCATTGTCGAGAAAGTGTCCCAGAGTGGATGGTTCACAGAGGACCTTGCCTTCGTGACGAGTCATGGCAATGAATAGAATTTCGAGAGCAGCTTCTCCCAAGGCACTCATGCCTTCGAGGAGTGGATCCAGACTACATCCTTGCAGGGTTTCGTCAAAGTGTCCCATGAGCGAGACACGCTTGAGGCTCTTGAGTTCCACGAGCACGTCTCCTAGTTTTTCCAAGCAGCGTTTGGCAGCCAATTGTTTCTTGTCCAGAGTTCCATCACTACTACTCTTGACAGTGATCGACTCTCGCTTGGCATCTTTTTTCTTGTCTTTTTTGGACGATTCCTTTTTGGATTTCTTTTCCTTTTTCTTTTTGCTTTCCTTGGCTTCTTTGCGTGTCTTGTTGTGATCACTGACATCCAACGACTTGTCACCCTTGTCTTCGGCTTCCTCCTCGGATCCTTTGTAAATATGCGTCAAAATCATGCCACGCGTCAACCACCACACCACCTTGTCGCCGCCCTTGGCCAAGAGCGCCTTGACAGCTTGGAGTGGCACTTGACCAAACACTTGGACCGCGCCTTGCATTTGACCCAAACACACATATTTGAGTTTCTGCAGAGATCCAATCGCTTCAAAGAGCTTGACGATTTCACCCAGAGGAAATCCATCGCAGAATTCCTTGGTAATACGAATGTGCACTTCGCGGACCACCTTGTTCTCTTCAATGGCGCTCCGCAAATCGAACCAATCCGTCGTCCCGATCTTGGCCGCATCAAAGAACAGCTCCAGTTTGAAATAGGAAGGATCGCTCTTCTTGAGCTTTTCAAAGTCACCTTCGTTCTGCATCTTTCCTCTTCTGGTTCATCTATCTGTACCAGTACTATGATCTGCACTACTCCTATGCTGGTCTCTCCTCTCCAACCTCGTCCATGTGTGTGATCGCTCAGTCAGGCAGGTCTGTCGAGAAGAAGCGTTGGATCTTGTTCCAAAAAGAAGTCAGTCAAACTCAAGATATAAACCGGCAGAACAGTCATTCGTTCAGAAAGCAAGGACGTCAAGTCCTCCGTTTTTCTAGGTCAAGGACTTTCTCCGTTTTGTGGAGGACGTCCTCCGCTTTGGGTTGGCTACCGGTATCTTTCGGGGGCAACGTGAGCTCTAGCTTTTCAGGCCAATGGATCTCCCAGCACAATGCTCGCTACCTGGTAGCTAGCTAGAAGTTTGTTCTACCACTATGCCTGATGAATCCTTGAATTGAATGGAGCAAAACATTCCACAGCCAGAAGCAATGACACCGTGCCCCTGTCAACCGTTGATCTAGCGAAAGGAGCGACTTTTGATACTAGAGTTTCAGCACTGAACTCAGAAGCCATAACTTCATGTAGAAGAATTAATAGTACTTGATAGCTAGAGGGGGTTGCTTATAATACCAGTACATTAGAAGAGCGACTTCAGTTTTTCATCCAGAAGTTCGACTCGTTTCATTGCACCCCACTCCTCGGAAAGGTCTCGTGCTTCGATGAGACGATGCTTGGCACTGACCACGTCGTCCATTCGCAGATACAAGGCTGCCAGTCTCTCACAAGCAAGAGACCGGTCGTGCAGGTACCCTGTCCTACCTGCCAGTGTGATGGTGCGCTGATAAAACTCAATGGCATCCTCCAGCTTTCCTTTGCTGGCGGCATTCTCCGCATCCAAGAAGAGGACATAGTGGTGAGCACCCGGGCATCCCATAGAAAACCATTTCCGAATTTGCTTTCGTTGCTTCTTGGCAGCCCCAATGTATTCCTTCTTTCGTTTCGGTCGTTGTCGGGCCATTTCATAGCAGGCAACACCCAGAATGAACCGTGACACGAGGGTAGAATACTGACCAATCAGTACCTTGCAAATCATATCAATGGTCGACAAACCAAGGTTGGCCGCCAGTTCGAAATCACCAAAGAAGGCAGCTGCAAACAACCTATCCTTTTGCAAATGGGAGAGGTGATGAAGATCATTTGAGGTTTCCAGCATGTTCAATGCCGCTTCTTCGTCGTGAGCTGTGCCAGTCAAGATTGTGGTGTTGGATGAACGGCCACGGAGGTTTAACACTAATTGCCAAACACTCTTCAAACAGTCTGCGTGCTTGAACATTTTGTAGTCCATCTCATTCTTGGTGTAGGATTCCACGTCCTTTTCGACCAATGCGAGGTTGGTTCCGGAATACAGTGCCGACTCGTTGATAAAGTGGGCATTCCAGAAGGCACTGTCCAAGTCACAGCACTCCATGCCTCTCTTGTACCCAATCGTCAATGCCTTGCCCGACAGCTGAATTGGAGCTGTCCAGTGAGCGGTGCAAATGTTGAGCACCAAAGAAATTCTCGATTCGATCTCTCGGTTTTGAAACTTGTCCATGAGAGAGCAGGTCACCTCAGCATGTTCCTTGGCCCACTGGAAATCCATAAACACATTTTGAATGATCATGGTCATCCATGCAAATGGAACGGCAGAATATCGTGTCAGCCCACGATCAATGACATGGCGGCAGGCCATGATGATACAGAGTGGCCATGCCTCTGGCCATGTCTGAGGTTTGTGTGGGGAAAATGACACGGTTAGTACAAAGGCAGATCGCAACCCACAGCTAGACCAGGAGAACTTACCATCATGGAAAAGATGATCAGACTGTCATGCAACTTGGAGATGGCTTCATCCATTGGATCCTTGCTCACTGGCAGTCTCCGCAAGGAATCGGGTGTCCACTTTTTCTTGTGAAGCTTAATGTTGGCCACAGCCGCCAACGTCCGCGGACCAAGCAGAGTCTTGGGAAGGTGAAACTTCAAACTTCCCAGGACACTCAAGCATTCCTTCAAGGCTTCCTGAACTTCAGCATTTGCCATATGTGCATCCATGATGATTCGGTACACATGAATCTTATCCTGAATGGGACAGTCCAATGCCAGCACCACATTGCTGTAGGACTTCATTTGATCGTAGTTGCCCAGGCACATTTCGGACTCCGCTGCCGTCGTGTACAGATAGAGACTCTCTTCATACATAGTCTCCCAATGACGTTCAGGAAGCAGTGAGATGGCAGCCTTGTAATATACAGCCGAACGCCGAAAGGCTGCAGCAACATAAGCCTCTTCGGCAGCTGCGCAGTTTAACTCATACAAGGCTATTTGCTTCTCGGCCGGCAATCGCTCCAATTGCGGATTGATGAGATTGACCAAGAGAAATGTCAACTGTTCCACTCCTTGGGCCTCAAGACGTTCCTGGTTCTCCAGGAGAATGTATCCCATGGTGTATTTCAGATTATCAAGTTCTGCCTCTGGAATGAGCGAAATGCTTCCTTCGAGAACCTTGTCATGTAAAAACGAAAACGTCGTTGCCGAGGAAGCTTCAATGAATCCCTCACTTTCAAGCTGGTGGAGTTGGTTGTCAATGTCGCCCCCAAAGTCGCTTTGTTCCAAGGCAAAGACACTTCCCAATACATCCAAAAATATTGGGTAGTCATCAGCAGCCGTGATGACAGCCTGCAACACTTGGGCATCAAACGTGGTACCAATGCAGGCCGCCAAGGGAAGGAGCTTCCGAGCGGTGCACGACTGCTCCAACTTTTCCCTCATGAGATCCACCACATTGTCGGTGGCGGTGGATCCAAACTGAATATCTTGTAGATTCCAGTTCCATTGACAACAACCCATGTTGTACTTGAGCAGTCCCTTTTGTGTCAAGGACAGGAGGTACTGCATCACAAAGAACACATTTCCGCGAGTTCTTTGATGAATAATGGCAGTGAGTTCTTTGACCTGTTCCGGTGGGATATCCAAAAGGTCAGCAATCATGGCATTGACATCTCCCTGATGCAGTTCTCCAATGGCAAAGTCATGAATGGCAATCTTCTTTTCATCTTGGACTGACTGGATTTCCTGGAGTGTTTTTGTGACAAAATGATTGTCATCAACCATGTTGCTTCGGTAGGTCCAAATCATCAAGAGGGAGGGAATGGTATCATCTGTAATCCATCCCTTGAGAATGGAGAGACTGGCTGTGTCACTAAATTGTGCATCATCACAGAGGAGTACCAATGGCACAAACCCCGATATCAATCGAATCAACTTCCGCATGGCAAACTGGAGACGATCCCCTGCCGATTTGGCATTGTAATTGTTGATGGTAGTTGTTTCCACTGTGGGCCGACGCTGGAGGCCTGCTTCGGCTGTCTTTTGTCGTCTGAATCCTGCCTTTTTGTCGGTTGTCTTTTGGCAACGAAGCGGTGCCTCTTCGGTCGTTGTTGATGTGTTGACTGTGGCAGTTTCATCCACTACGAGCTGACGCTGGATTCCTGTCCCGGCTGTCTTTTGTCCTGGTTGTTGTTTTCGTCGGTCCTGCTTTCTCGTCCGTTGTCGACTTGTCGTCGTTGTCGTTGTCACTGTCGTGACTGTTGACTCGGTGGAGATTGGATGGGGACTGGCAATGCTTGACCGAAATGGATTTTTGAGAGATGCAGTCTTTTCAATCGCTTTTGACTTGTCATCACTGTCATGACTGTTGACTCGACGGAGACTGTGTTTGGACTGGAAATGCGTGACTTTGCGGGTGGACATGGCCGAAATGACTCTTTGAGACATGCAGTCTCGTACACTAAAGAGCCTTTGAAGCGGACCGGGGCTCTTGGTGGTTTCTGCTGCTGCTGGTTTAAGGAGTACCTCCAATTCCGGCACAACCTGACAGAGGAGATCCATTTCCCAATCCAACTGCTCTGCCACGGCTTCTTGGAGATCGTCCAGAGTTGGCCTTTTGCTTGGATCAGATAACTTTCGTGGTGGCAATTGGGAGATTTCCCGGCACAACTGTCGCATGGCCGCCTTGATTCCAGAATAGGGTTCTCCAATCTGTGCCAAGTCAAACTTGCCCTGTACAAAAAAGGCCCCTCGATGCTTGGCAGGATCCTTGAGCGACAGAGCCAAGGCAGTCTTGCCTTCTCCACTGAGTCCACGAATCAGACAGAGCGAGCGGTGGTGACTGTTGGTCTCATGGTCCTTGCCATTGATCTTTTTTGTTCCAGTAGTAGTTTTGCTGCAGATCTGATTCAACTCAGTTTCCAACAGTCGAATCTCTCGTTGACGACCGTACAACGTGGTGAGGCGTCGTTTGTTCTGCAATAGCTTTTCCGTACAAAACTGCTCCAACTTGGTGGTGACATTGTGAGACATGGAGGTTGTGGGAGTCACAATGGTCACCTTGTCTTTGGCAATCAAATTTTTCGTCTTGGTTTTGGCTGTGGATTGATGAAGGCTACCACCCAACCCAAACGCTTTGCTGCTGCCCTTGACATCTTGATCTTCCCATGGATTGGTCACCGCAGAATGATTGCTGTGGCGAGCCAACGAGAGCTCTTCCGAGCCAAAGATGGAACTGTTGTGAGGATTGTCGGTAAAGTGAGAAATGTGCACCATGGTTAGCTTTTCCTGTGATAGGCTGTCTCTAAAAGAACTGTGGTTTCTATGCAAATGAACTCGTACACATGAATTCGCTTTGAAAGAGGGTCAGTTAGTTGATGTGAGGGCGATTTGTTGAAAATGTTTGGACTGAGCTCCGAATGCATCAATCTCCCGCTTTGATCCAGCGGTGAGTGGTACCGGTACCAGGTACATACCATTATGCGCATGCATATACGTTGTGTTCTGGCCGCGCAGGCGTTCCCGAAAACTCAGTAATATAATGTACAGTAGACTTAATTAATTAATGGACTGACTCTGATGCACTCCGAACCGAAACCCAGAATACTCAGTGGAGCTCTGACTGGCTTATCAAGAGAACAATTCCATTAATAGCCCATGCTGTTCCATCAAAGTTCAACTGTCAGGGCGGTGCACTCCCTAAATCTGGTTAGCGTAAGGAAGCTCGAAGTGGTTCAGTACCGGAAAGGGTTCAACTAAAGCCCCACAGTGCTTCAATCACGGTACGGTATTGGCTCTATCTGAACTCTCAACGGAAAAAAGCTGCACGCAAGTCTGGCTAGCTGGGACATTCGTCACGAATGTCGAAAAGACATAGCTGCCTAGCTAGTACCAATACTCCTCGAGTACCGGTACATGTATACGAATTCAAAAAGGCTTAAGCTCACATCTATTGCATACAAGTGGTACCAGCCCAAACTGAACCGGTACGTTGAGACTTGAAGGACTAGCTAGCAGTACCGGTAGATGTCATGGCTGAACCGTCGAGGACTAGCTCGCTAGAGGATGGTTATGAGAATAGTGCAGTCGATGAAGATCCCGTGGCCTACGCAAAAGAGGCAGTTTGCCGATTCCATTGCAACGTTGGATACTCGATCTACATGTACTTTGCCAACTGGGATGCTCTCTCAGCTGTGGCTATCCTTCCGTGTCGTCATCCATCCATGGTTCGGTTCGACTGGGTTTTCGAGGACGAGCATGCAAAGATGATTGATGTCATTCGGAGAGCCAGCAATGGCAATAATTCCTTCCTTGAGAAAGGTAGGAAAATCACTGTCGACTCGACTCCATGCTGACAAACCTCAAGGCCATGGTGGCTTTGGATAGATTCGATCAATCGATCCGAACTAGACCAGCGTCATTGTACGGTACTGTCTTTTTGTGCCTTGCAGTTCCTGAATCAAATCGGCATCATTGTTTTGCAACGTACAGGATCCCGTCGACCATGGTTTCTTGTGTTGACTCCAGGACCTAGCTAGAACAGGAAACGGTTGAAAGAGAGTGAGATACATTGCAAGACAGACGCGGATGAGATGAGTTTCATGCTGTCAAAACAATCGAACGGGATTGCAGCAACACCAGCAGAACAGAGCGAGAGTTCGAGAGAGATGTCAATAAGACTCTGACCAATCCGAAACCATTTCTAATCATAGTCCCCAGTAACGAGGCGATGCCAAGTGCCTACTCGTACATGTCAAATCGCCAGACTGCTCCCCACCACCACTCTGTGGGATGCCTCACATTTTGTGATGCCAGCCCCGACCATTTTGACCAAGACTTGTTCCCGTGGAGCAAGAGGAGGAAACATTCCAGCAACCAACCATGCCTTCGGCACAATGACGTTCAGACGGCACTTCCTAAATCAGCGGAAATCTTCCTCGTCCTTCATCTCTCTCTCTCTCTCTCTCCTCGCCTCATCAACGACCAGACTGGTAGACAGGCAAGACACTCCATGCAGGGGTCATCTCTGGATGGTACGCGAACTCAAACACACACACGTACAATACAATACAATACAATACAATAGAACAGGTGATTGGCGTTGTCTCCTTTGGGTTGTGGCAGAGGCTAAACTGCCAATATCCTCAAAAATGGAGCAAAGATGCCCCTTTTCAGAGCCCAGTGCTTATGTCATTTGGCATTCATTGACGCGCGCAACATACACACAACAAACCAACAGCAAATGGATCTGCCAAGGCCGTACTTACAGTCTCGTTCGCTGTGCTCTCTCTCTATGCCACAGTTAGAAGAAGAAGGGGAGCCATCCATTGGACAGGTTGACCAATATGCGACCATGAACTCCTCTCGGTCAATACCAGTAGCGGTACACCTCGTCTACCTGCTTCTCTGCCGAAGAAGTGCAACCAATCCTACCGTACCGTAGTACTGTACACTCTTGTTCTTGGGGCAACCAAAGCGCCATGGTCTTTTGGATCCAAAAACATCCTCGAGAAAAAATAATGAGTGGTGGTAAATAAATAACGTGCACCGGTTGAAGGAAAAATCAATTTTTGTTTTTTCCAAAATCAAAATTAACCAATAATTTGCATCCGATTTGAGAAAGCAAAAGTGACAAAAACGGTTCACTGCAGGCAATGTGCGAATTGGGGGGGTTAGAGCATAATATACCGGCACGGGGGTTTAGAGTAGGGAAATGATCTATGGAAGCCAGTCGGGGCCAGGCTAAAGCAAAGAAGAGTCCTAGCTAGCTAGCTATTAGGGCATTCTCTAGTAGTTTTCGTTCTAAAACTCGTCCTAAGCTACTCGTCCTAAAGTTAGGACGAGTTTTTAGGACGAATTGGCAATCTCTAAAAAAGTCGTTCTAAAACTCGTTCTAAATTTAGGACTAAGGTTAGGACGAGTGCAACCTCTAAAAAATTCGTCCTACCGTTTCGTCCTAACAGTTCGCTCCCTGTCAACGGCAATCGGCAATTTCGGCAGTCAGTTTCTTTCTTTCTTTCTTCTTTCGCTGTGGCATTTCGCTGTGGCATTTCGCTGTGGCATCATGATGGCTTCCTCTTCACATTTTGGCTTGATTTGTAGCATTGATAGCTGGCTGAAAGGAGTAATAAAATTGACTTGACAATGGTGACCGTATCCGATCCTCCTGTTGAAGATTTCATTGACAGCCACAACCGTGCTGCCGAGAAGATTGCTGCTACCAGAGCCGCCGCCACCAAGAAGAAGACTAACGATGATCTCTCTTCCGACTCTGAAGATGAGCAGCCTCCTCCTTTGAAGAAGGTGCGAGGAAAGGAGCCGACCGGCAAGACCGCCATTGACGAAGACTCTTCTGAAGACGAAGAAAATGCAGAAGATACCTCGGCAGAGGAATCCGATGAAGATGACTCCGAGGACGAGGAGGATACTGCGAAGAAGCCCAAAGGGAAGAAAGGAGTGACCATTGCCTTCCCTGGTGGACGTGGCAGTGGACGAGGCGGTGGCCGTGGCCGTGGTCGAGGCCGTGGTCGTGGCAGTGGCCGTGGTACTGGTCGTGGTAATGGCCGTGGCAAGAAGAATGGTAATTCAAAAGCCAAAGCCAATCAAGACGACATCAAAGCTGAAGGAGAAGCAAAAAAGAGGGATGCAAAATATGACAAGCTCAATGACTACTGTCTTTCCCGTGCCGTTGCGAATGTGACATGCAATCTCAAGAAGGGAGCCAAGGAAAAGGGCAAAGTGTACTGGCAGAACATCGCCGACAAATTCGAAGAGATCCGTGCTAAGGATTTTCCCGACAGGCCCAAAAGGACTTGGGAATCTTGCTACAACCGTTGGACCCGGCATATCCTCAAATCAATGAATCTTTTCATTCCTTGCTACCGCCACGTGAAGAAGAATCCCAAGTCT